TCTGAGTCTAGACATGTGTCATTTATTAAAATCAGAAGAAGTTTTTTTTTCCATGTGCCAAAGGGGGACCTCCGGTCCAGAATTTTTCGAAAAAATTCAAAGTGACATTTTCGAAAAAGTAAATCAGGAGAAATACTCAGAATTCGATGCTGATTCCAAATATGTAAGTTTTATTGTGATTTGGTTTGGTCGGGATGATCGGCTTATCGGCCCTCCTCCTTTTCGTAAATGGCATGATTTTGATTTGCACACACGTGCCGTTCAACTACGCTAATCGAAATTATATAATTTCAGTGTTTTGTAACTGCGGTTTTTAAGGTCTCTGGAGATCTCAGCATCTACAACCAGCCTGATAAATCCTTTTTGTTTTCATTAACGAAATTAGACTACAAAACCATGTCATTTAGGAAAGTTTCAACAGTTTTAGTGGAAAACTAACGATTTTGGAAGCCATTTTAAGCGGCTGCGTGAATATTTCTGCCATACTTAAAGAATAGTTACCACAAAGTTAACTAACTGACAGTTACCGTTATTTCAACGGTAACTGGAAACACAGTTATCGTTAGCGGTAACTGTCTTTTCAGTTACCTTTGTCGATAACGGCCGAAGAAGTAACCAGAACTTTTACAGTTCTATAGAGGATAACCTAGGCTACCTTCTGATTTAAGGAGACTAGAATATCTCAGAGTTTCAAGTGGTGTATCTCATCGGTCTTTCAGAGAAAAAGTTTTGAAAAACAAATGTTGCCACGAGATTCAGCATAGTCGGTAACCTGTGTTCTCATTCATTTCTGACAGACCCCAACTTAATGCTAGAGGTGTCCAGAGGAGTCCTAGCTTCCGAACCATGCATTTCTAGATGTGACTTGGATCTGGTTTTGTAGAAGATACCCAGGGCCATTCATTTATTTAAAAAAACTGATAGACTTTTATATGAAATCTTTTAAGATTACTAATTGTATAGACGTATAGTGACTGTCTGTGTAACGAGAAAATGATCATAGCAATGAAAGCAATATGCATGAGATAGGTAACAGAGCTTCGTATAGACTCAAGTTTTTGAGTCCAGTGCAGTCCATGGACTAAAACCGTCTAGTCCAGTCTGAGTCCAATGACACAGTTTTTTAAATCCAGTCTAGTCCATGGACTCTAAACAAGCAATCCAATCCAGTCCTAGTCCAACAGATTGAGTAAAGAGTCCAATGGACTTTGCAAACCATTTGAGAATTAGGTGCTTTTGCCGCGCTGAACCAAATTTAATGAAAATAAGATGGTAAAGCTTCACAACCCAGAAAAAATCTCTGTTTTCGGCATATGTAATCCGAGGTCTTTAGCTATTCTCTTTCACGGTACCTCAGAACCGGAGCAATTGTTAAGAAAGACTCAGTGGGGCTCTCCTATAAAGCTCACCGACTCTTTTACTTTAGAGCTTTCACGATCATCTTCTGAGGATGGTCGATTTACTAATCCTGAATAGATTTCAAACAGCCAGGCATCCAAATAGGTACCCTAGAGGACGTCGAGTTTGCCTGATCAGACCACTGATCAGTAAACTGTAAGTAAAAAAGTCTTAGTCCTATTTTCTTGATCACGATCTGTTTTTTATCCTGACCAGTGAAAGTGAGCAAGAACAGGACATGCGTTTTGGATAGTCATCAGCATTTAACTATTACTCCGGCGTTAAAAGTGACTATAGCTTTTTCAGGTTTGATTACATCATGTTTTACTCGGACTTTTCTTCGAGGACATGATGTAAACAGTTTTAAAGGTTTATCGACCCCATGATCCCTTTAGGACGTCACAATCTCTATCTACAAATCAAAAAAGACATGTTTTTACGAAATTCATACAGCAAAGGCAAAGGATTCAGTGCGAGTACAAAGCAATTTCGGCTCTCTAATGCCTCGTGTAAACCCTTCTTGAATTTTTCTGCCATAATGTTGAACAACGTTTAGAATCCAAGATAGGTAGATCTGGATTATCTTTGGTGAAAATTCGAACTAGACCGGATCATTTTTTGAGGGTTCGTTGTGTGACTAGATGCAAAGCAGAGTTTTCTCATCGAGAAAACTCATCGAAGAAAATGTCTCTGAGCAAAAACACACACAGATTTTCTTTTTCAATCACTGGTCTTTGGTAACGTTTTGAAGCCGATCGGACATTGGCTTCCACGTTTTCCAAGAGAGTGGAAAAGAGAGGACCCTTAAGTTGCAATTAATACCACACTATAAACAAACGTCTTCGAAAACAGCGGCAAAATATTTTTATCTAGCTTGCTATGATAGATACAAGTATTTTGTTGACTTTTTGCCCTCATAAATAACATCGAATGCTTTTGCGTCAATTTTTTCAAACAATACTCAACACGTTTTCCTATTGTTTTGTCATTTACACAAGCTTGCACTCGCTTCAAAGCTAATGCGTACACACCTATCGTCACCATCAATTGTTTGAAATGATTTACGCATCACTTATTAACACATCAATACCCACGTAATGTTCTATTCCTCACAAACACATCATGAAGTGCAGATTAAACAAAAGCTTTTGTTAATGATAATAGTGAACAATAAGATTCTTTTCTTTTTTCTCCTTGATAAAGAACATTCTAGCACAGTAAACGCACACTTTATAAAGAAAGCCTCACGTCTCTTGAGATTATACATTTTACACACTCATATTCAACGTTTTCTTCTTCGCTTATATCAAAAATGCCTCAGCAGTTTGGTACGTATAGAGCTTTTTAGCGTGAATTTATATACCGATGTTTGTGTTTTAATTCAGGAGGTTATGGCTTCCCAGCCAGTTATGGAGGATTTGGACCTGGTGGATTTGGTGGACACATCAACTTCCCTGTCTCAAATCACTATCACTATCACAGTGGTGGATATTCTCCACCGCTTAGCGGCGGTTATGGGCTTGGAAATCCGTATACAGGAAATGGAAATAATATTAGGGGATACGGCGGATACGGTGATTTATTTCAAGGATACTATTGAGTTTAGTTTTGAACTTGTAAGCTGTCAATTTTCTGATTTGCTTCTGATAGTATTGATGTGNTTGGTGGACACATCAACTTCCCTGTCTCAAATCACTATCACTATCACAGTGGTGGATATTCTCCACCGCTTAGCGGCGGTTATGGGCTTGGAAATCCGTATACAGGAAATGGAAATAATATTAGGGGATACGGCGGATACGGTGATTTATTTCAAGGATACTATTGAGTTTAGTTTTGAACTTGTAAGCTGTCAATTTTCTGATTTGCTTCTGATAGTATTGATGTGATATTCTGTGAGTATAAAACTATAAAGGTTCAAGAAAATCTTTTTACTGTCGTAGCTAGTTAACCCGTACACGTACTCATTCATAATATTTATATTATTTGTACGCATCGCTCAGTGCATCTGAGTATGTTCATTCACTGGTCGATGCATTCAGATACTCTTATTCAAGCATTACGCAATGCTCGAACAAGAGTTTTAATGTCTCAAGCTTCGTTTTGAATTATAAAATTATTTTGCTTCTCCAAATCAGTATGTATGCACAATTTTTGCAAAGCATTTTAGCTTGATGGCTATCGAAAATAGCTCTTACTGGCACTCGTTTCGATAACAGTTCGCTATACCATGTATCCTTCTAGTCGCGCCTGTTGTTTTCTTGCGTTTGTTTCATCAGTTTGCAAATATCAGTTTGCTACGATATTTCTTGTATTGAGATTTTAAGGAGTCGAGAAAAAAACTGATAGGAATATTTTTGATTGTAGTTCCACATTTTGATTGCACTGTATTTTTCCAAAATACACATCACAATCCAAGCATGTGAAAAATTCTATTTGTAAGTGTTTAATACCATCAAGTTTCGTTGCTAACTGTTTGACGATAGGCAAAAGTTCCTTGTTAGATATTGTTGAAATTAATTACATAGATTTTCGATCAGATTATTTGCAATACCATCAGAAATTTTGTGCATTTTTATAATTTTGCTAAGACGACTCAAACTTGTGCAATATATAAAATATTTACGGTAACGATAGGGTTTCCAACCAACTTTATTGCATGATAAATGAGGATTATAATTATAAACACAATAAAATGATATGAAAGTATATACAAAAAATAAACAACGTGGAAAAACAGCAAGGGCTACCAAAAATGATCTGAAATCAATCACTCACACAGACACACACAAAGAATAGCTACTGCATCTCCTTGGTTTATGTTAATATAACCCAAGAAGAAACTTTTTTTGAGATAACACTGGGACTTTTCTTACCATGGTTCATGTTAACCGAATCAGCACTTGAATATCCACTTGGTTGCCTCTCTGACGGCACTCGTGCTCTATGCCGACTTGGATCAGGGGGTATTACTAAAATACGCTAACACCCACTAACATCCCCAAATTAAAGTCCGAGATAGACCTGTTCTTTGTGAATTAGATAACATCAAACTAATATCGAAAAAATTTGCTTCAAAGATGATTCTTTAGGACTTTTTCGTTAGGAACACCCACTAACATCCACTATACCCACTAACATCGACTAACACCCACTAACACCCAAACAAAGTGGCGCAAACACCCAAAATAATATGCCAGAGTAATCGCCATCCTTTTGTGAGCCTATTAGATCACTTTTGAATCCAAAGGAAATCTCACCCTCACCCTCACGAAAAACAGCTTTCTCTCTGTGTATAGTAGATTTTTAGTAGATTTAGACTTTCTAAAGCATCTAAATTTATTACATAAAGCTTTTTCTGAATGAAAAATTCTACTATATACAGAGAGAAAGCTGTTTTTCGTGTGGGTGAGCGTGAGATTTCCTTTGGATTCAAAAGTGATCTAATAGGCTCACAAAAGGATGGCGATTACTCTGGCATATTATTTTGGATGTTTGCGCCACTCTGTTTGGGTGTTAGTGGGGGTTAGTCGATGTTAGTGGATATTAGTGGGTGTTCCTAACGAAAAAGTCGAAAATAAATTTTTTCGGTATTAGTTTGATGTTACCTAATTCACAAAGAACAGGCTTCTAATAATTCCATCTTGAGTTTTTGACAGAGTGCCACAGTAGCTGTGATTTTCTTCGATTAGATTTTCTGCCAGAACATTATATCAAAATGACTCACCTGTGAAATACTTCGATGAATAGTCTCTGATTGACGTTTTTTCTGAGGCGGCTAAAATTACAGGCAGTTGCATCACATTCAAAATTCAAGAATAATTTAATTGTAAATCTAAAGGGTTATTACATAAATGCTGAACAAAATTAAATTTGCTTACCAATGAAGAAAAAACTGGCTATCGAACTGCTTTCAAAATTCTGTCTGTGACTGTAGTGTTCCGTGAAGTCTAATATATAGAAGAAAATATGTCTTTTGAGAAGTTCTATCCAAATAAGTTGCTTTATGACAAACTAATGTTACACTACAGTGGATTAGATTGTGAAAACGTAAATACCTCATTGAGTGGTTCAACGTTCTTATCAGTGTTTTCTGAATTTGATGGCTCTTTTGTTATACCTAAAACACCGAATAGGGAACCTTGGTTAATTTCCTTTTCCTTGCAGTGCTACATACTGCGACTAAACCATACCTTTTGTGTTTTCTTCAACAAGTTCTGTATCTGATTCTTCTGTGTCAAAATAGATTATGCTACCTGTGGATCTACAATAACATAATATACAATTTATTCAAGTCCATAGTTAAATTTATCTAGAGTCTGTGTGTGAAGATTCTTTTATTGCTCACGGGAATCGGATTGATAAACTTCGTTCCAGTACACCGTACGTTTCGGTATCAAACCTGAGGGACAAAGATGGAACAATATGATGTTATCTGTTCAGTTTCTGTAGCGATAAAAGAATAAATGAAGGATGCAATTCTTCTTTTTAAAAGTAGATAAAATAATAAGTATGTATTATATATTTATATTTCATTTCTTCAATATTTCTACTATACTAGCGATTGAAAAAACAGAAGTGTTGTGATAGTGTTAAAAATGACTCGAACTACGAATACAAAAAAATAATTTTAAAATTAACAAAAAGTACTGCAAGAAATAATATAATTATTATTTGAAAGCCAAATTTTGTATTACTATAAGATATAATAGAGTTAAAGTTAGATACTTTAGTTCCGTATTTTAATTTTAAATTTAACAAAACAACAAACGTTTCGGCCTCTTTTAATTGAGGTCTTCTTCAGTGTACGTAATAAAATATAAAATATAGTTAAAATTCTATTTCATATAACTTGTGCAGATTTAAAATGTAGAGTGACTGCTTAAACTTTATATTGTTACACGCCTATTTGTAGTTTGTTTTTCATTTTCTTTTCTTAACGAATAGACATATTATTAAGTCATTCTTTATAATTTTTCCTCTTTTGTTCGCGTAAACTATAGCTCGTATAATTTGTTGTGGTATATTATTGATAGAAATAATACTGGTATAGTGGTAGTATTACTTATAATTTCTACAGAATTAACGACTGGTTCGTCCACTGTCGGGAAAAGTTCTTCCCTGTTCTGGGCTATTACGTACACTGAAGAAGACCTCAATTAAAAGAGGTCGAAACGTTTGTT